CGATTCCGGTCAAGAGCATGTACCTTGGTTGCGGGCACATCCCCAGTGGGAGGTGTGCAGGAGGCAGCTGATCGATGTTTCTCTCCCATCGATGTTTCTAACTTTCTATCCCTCTCCCTTCCTCTCTGTAAAAAATCAATAAAATATATTTAAAAAAAAAAAAAAATTTTGACAAAAAGACAAATTTATCATAGAATATCTTATTAAATAATTGATAACTTTTTACCCATATATTTTGTGCAAATAGGTATAAATGAAATAAATGTGAAGGAATGAAGAGATACAAAGAGAGGAGGGATATCCTATAATGGAGGTTTGGTTAAATAAATGAGGACATATCTATACAGTAGAACATTATTCAGCATTAACCATAATGCCATAGAAGACTAATGACATGAGACATTTTTCATGATATGGTAAGTGGAAAAGAGCTGATCATAAAACACTCTCTATGTAATGGTCACACATTTCTTGGAAGACATAATTATATATGTTTTAAATCAACCAGATTGCCTACTGAATTATTTATGATGGTTATCTCTGGGAGATAAGTACATGAAACCTACATTGTTTTATAAATATAAAATATTATTTTTAGGGAATGGAAGAAAAAAATCAAGTCTACTAGTATATGGATAATATATTCACATCCTAGTCTTTTGGGCTCATCGATAATAAACTAATTTTTACTGTTTCACGCTTTTGTCTTTTAATTTTCCCCTTTGTCTGGCACAGGAATTAATAAATGCTATTGAATAATGCTATTTCAAAGTACAAAAAAGAAAAACAAATTTATTGGGCTACTTGGCTCAAATCTTGCATTTTACATTGATTTAGAATGTTAGGGAAAATAATAAATTTCACTGCAAAATCTCATTTGCAAATTGGTAAGCATATTTATTTGTTTCTAAATCATTTCATTGAAAATTTCAGCTAAATTTCAATTTTTACCAATACCTGTTGCTCTTTAGTACCAAATGTAAAAATGATGGTGAGATGTGAAAGCAAGTAGAAGAAAAACAACTTTATGTAAAAGTATAGGTTTTAGTTTCAAAATGATTCTTGGCTTACTCAGTACTTGACTCTACTAACTCTTTGTAAGAAGACAAAAGTTGTTACCACGGAGCACTTTCCCAAAATCCAGTTAGGACTTTTGGTCATGAGTGTAAACTCTTTAAGGTTAACTATCATGCATTATTTTCCTTTATCTTTGGTCTGATGCTGGAAACAGAAGGCACCATAAGACATAAGCTAGCAGGGTTATAGGTAAAAGTTGTTTTGGGGTCAACTTATCGATTCTAGTACCTAGATCATTTTTTTTTCTGCTTCTGTTGCCCATGTCAAATGTGTACTTGCTCCAGGCTCATTCAGCTATAGTAGATTATAGACGAACAGCATGAAGCACAAATGTTTTAGTCCTTCAGTGAGTCAATAAACACTCCTGAGAAAGTCACAGTACTGACATTTTAGATGTCGTACAGGAGAATAGGTAGGAACTCACTCTCATGAAGCTTGCTCTGGTAAAAGAAGACATAGGCAAACAGAATTTACTTTATAAGGTTAGAAAATGAGAAGTCTAGTGAAAAAGGAACAAACAAGGTTATGTTCAGCTGGGGGAAGCTTAGAGGTAAATAGCTGTGAATTTTTGGAGAAGTTGCATTTCAGTTATGACCTAAAGTATGGGTAGCGCTTTGGCACAAGCACATGGATGCAATGGACACATGTGATCATAAGGTTTTTAAAGAGTTTCTGGTATATGATGTGTTAGTTACATTTGTTAGGCTAAAAGGCTTAGTCACCGAAACAAAATGTCCTGATAAAGAAAAGTATTGCACCCTCATGTAACAGCCCAAGGTGGGTGAGCAGACACCTCTGCTGCACACAGTCAAGCAGGGGCCCATATTTTTCCCTTCTTGTTATTTCATTATTTCCTAAGGCAACTGTTATCTGGGTGGTTGAAACTGCTCCTTCTACATCCTAATTCCAGCAGGTAGTAAAGGGAGAGTGGGGGAACATACTTGTGATGAGTTAAGGTTTCCATTGGTGGCTACATAGTCACCTAGCTGAAACAGGGCTGGGAAATGTAGCCTCTGCTTGGGCAGTCCTATGATTTCTGTGACTCTGTTACTAAGGAACAAAGGGAGAACAAATTTTGGTGGATAACTAGTAGTCTCTGCCCCAGCAGAGTGCATTATTATCATCATGCCTTAAATATACCCTAGTAATTTTAGATGGGTAGTCCATCTCCCTTTAATTTTTTAAAAAATATATGTTTTTATTGATTTTTAGGGAGAGATGAAGGGAAAGGGAGAGAGAGATCAATGAGAGAGAAATATCCACCTGCTGCCTCCTGCACTTCCACTACTGGGGATCAAGCCAGCAAACCGGTCATGTGCCCTGACCAGGAATTGAACTGGTGACCTCTCAGTACATGGGACTACATTTAACCAACTAAGCCACACTGGCCAGGGCCCATCTCTTTAACGGTGAATTTTTCACTATACAAGTGGCTTGAGCCCAAGATATTCTTTTTTAAAAACAAATTTTTAAATTGATTTTTAGGGAGACAGAAAGAGAGAGGGAGGGAGAAACATCTCCTACATGCCCCCTACCAGGGATGGAGCCCACAACCTAGGTACGTGCCCTGACTGGGAATCCTACTGGCAACCTTTCCGTGATCAGTCCACAGAATGACACCCCACCAACTGAGCCACACTCACTGGCCAGGGCAAGCCCAAGATATTCTTGTTACTATTACTATGGAATAGAAACCAAACTATTCCCAAGGACTAGCTCAACCTATCACTAAGTAAACTTCCTTAACTGTTTTAAAGTTCAATTATTTGTCCCTACTTATCCCAGGCTGTGAAGAAATGGTTTATAAAAGAGTGAATTACAAAACTAGTGCATTTAACTGCACTGAATTCCCTATTCTTTTAATTAATACATTTAACAATAGAGCAGCAAGGGGAGATTGGTTGAAATATTTTATTCTATACTAAATTTTTCTCTTTTGCCTTTTAAAAATCATTTACTGAAAATAATCTTCAGCAGGTTCATTTTGAAAGTTTAAATAATGGTCCTGCTTTTGTAAAATATTTTATAGTAAATTAAATAGTTCGTACACAATGTCATGGGAATTATACTAGTATAGCTTTTTTTATATCTGTTTATTTTTTAAAATTCTTTATTAGTTAAGGTATTACAAATGTGTCCTTATTCCCCCCTCCCTTTAACCCCCATCCTTCCCCCTCATGCTCTCATCCCCCTGTTGTCCATGTCCATTGGTTTGGCTTATATGCATGCATACAAGTCCTTTGGTTGATCTCTTCCCCTTACCCCCTCCATCCCCTACTTTCCCTCTGAGGATTGATAGTCTGTCTACGGCCATACCAACCTGAACGCACCTGATCTCGTCTGATCTCGGAAGTTAAGCAGGGTCGGGCCTGGTTAGTACTTGGATGGGAGACTAGTATAGCTTTTATAATATGTACTTTCCCAATTGTTCTAGTTTTTCATGGTCATCTTAGAGAAGAAGTGGCACATCACCTTATTCAAGCATGAGAATTACACCAATTGGGGACTATGAATACTGAACAGAAATGTCTTTTTTTAATTTTTTTATTTAAATAAATCTTTATTGTTCAGATTATTACAGTTGTTCCTCTTTTTTACCCCCATAGATCCCCTCCACCCGGTTCTCACAC